CCATGACGATTCATTAAAAATCCTCACATTTTCACAGGTACTCCTTACTATTTTGATTTCAGATTCTATATTTTAAGCCCAGCTGATAGTGCTAAATTTTTTTAAATTTTGATGATGTTATTTTTAAACAAAAACCTTACCATACAGATGTAGCCGTAGCAGAGGTTTGAGGGGTTTGTGTTTTAGTAACTGCATATATAAGAAACTTCCCTGAAAACTAGCAACTGCTGTTGCCACTGTGTGGATGAAACACCTAAAACACATTGTTTCAGGAATTTTATCTTTCATAAACTTTTCTGTTGACGACAAACTTCTATTGTCATTAGCTAATAGGAGGATTTTTGGTTGTAATGCTAGCGAACTATTACTGTTTATTGCAGACATTTTGAGTGGACTTTTTCTGCATGTATGTTCCACTCATATACCAGGAGAGTGCCTGGATATTGTCGTACTATTGCTTTGTACCCAAAGCAATAACAGCATAACTTTGCTTTGGCTCAATATGTCTGGTTTTGAACTTTGTGATGAATTGAGTTGCTGAAAGTTCTGTTTTAAATGTCACATTTTTTGCCTTTTCACTAGTAGCAATGAGGGGGTTGGTCAAATAAAAAATGAGATGAGTGCATTAAACACATCGCTGCTACTTGCGCAATTTGCGAAACATGCAAGCACACGAATAACAATTTTTGCATTACATGATTTTGTTGGGTCGATAGAAAAAAGGGGGAAAAATGAAAATACACTACGGTGGAGAGGTTTATCAGAGAAAAACTGTTGAGCTATAAAAATCTCACTTGGTTCTAATCATTCATTCACCGTCACACTAATCTACTCATTTATCCAAGCACTTAAAGACCGTCTCTTCTGATCCAATCTCACATCGATTCTGTCATCACTTAGGTAAACTCTCCAAAGATTTTAGCCCCAAACACTTACCCAACCAGCATTTGTATGTGGGACGACATGGGTGCAAAGTAGGGCTGTCACTCTTACCTAAAAAAAATTAGGAGTCAGTTCTGAATGTAGGGGTACATTTGAGTTGTGTATTCCTCAGGCAATGTGAGGCTTAAAGCAGAGGGCAATCTAAGTGCAGCTCCATCTTGTATTCCCCCTTTGAACATTAGTAAAATACGTTTTTGTGGTGTCTCGATATTAGTAAGCAACCCAAACTTATGTGACCCAGGGGAGTATTCAGAGATCTCAATTCTTTAGACAAATTGAAAAAAAAAAGCCATTTAATACTTGCTTGCTGACTTTTACTGCCTCTCTGCAAGGTCACAAGTGGCACCAACAGCTCTGCCTGTGCAGGGCAGGCATTAATATATTTCCGTCTGAGTAAGAGAGGGATCAATGCCCCTGTGTCTGCAAAAGACTTCTAGGCATCTGCTCAAAACAGGCATCCGTGCCTTTCTCTGAACAGACCAGGCCCGAATGCCTCAGTGTGCATCATACCTAGGCAAGAAAATCATTAATGCCTCTGTGGCTACCCAAGACAGGAATTGATGCCTCTGTGCTTGTTCAGGAGAAAAAGTGACAACCCTTGTGCTGAAAACTAGATCTATACTAGTTAGTCTGCAAGTCCAATGTGTGAAAATGAGTGTAGTGACCATGTGTGACCCACATGACTTGCTCCTTTCATACCCACGTCTACTTGTTGAACCCAAGTTAACCCGTGTGGCCCATGTGGACATGCTGGCTGGGCAATTACTACTGCATTACGACTGATTCACTTCACTTCGACTCTTCCCAGGAAAACTGTCTCTGTCATGTAACAATGTCTGAACACAGAGACCGAGTAGAAAACTCAACAGATATGCCTGCAGGTAGTCGTTATGTGTCTGAATGTGATATATCTACAGTGCATGATCACAACATGCAGAATGAGTTTCAACATATTCATATGTTAGACCACAACCCACAATCAAAAATACCATTCACGGTTCTTGTGAGAAAGTCTTTGTAACACACAGCCAGATGATCTTTTCTACAAATGTTGGGTCCCAGCAAGCACATCTGTTGAGGTAACTGCTACATCTGAGCAAAAAAAATATTTCAGCTGGCTAAAAGAACAGGCCTTGTTATAACTGAACCCTAGCCCTT